TCCCGTTGCACCTCCGGTACTCCCAGGTACCTCTGGCCTCCCAGGTGCCTCTCTGACACTCCTGGTCACCTCTGGCCTCCCAAGTACACCTCTGACCTCCCAGGTACACCTCAGACCTCCCAGGTACACCTTTGACACTGTCAGGATAAACCTCTGACACTGGCAGGTACACCTCTGGCACTCCCAGATACCTCTGACCTCCTGGTTCCTCTGACATTTCCCAGTTACACCCCTGGCCTCCCAGGTACCTCCTGACACTCCCAGGTACACCTCTGACACTCCAGGTACACCTCAGACACACCCGGGTGCATTTCTGACACTTCAGGTGCACCTCCGAGCACTTCAGGTACCTCTCTTGACACCCAGGTGCACCAATGACACTCCCAGGTACGCCTCTGACACTCCCAGGTACTCCTCTGATGCTCTCAGGTACTCGTCTGCACTCCAGGTACACCCTCTGACCTCCATGCCTCAGACACTCCCAGGGTACCTCAGACCTCCCAGGTACACCTTAGACACTCCCAGGTACACCACGGACACTCCCAGGTACACCCCTGACACTCCATGTACCTCAGACACTCAGGGTGCACCTCGAGACCTCCCAGGTACCTTAGACACTCCCCAGGTACCACTGACACTCCCAGGTACATCTCTGACCTGCCAGGTACCTCTGAGCCTCCCAGATACCGCCGATGCTCATGGGTACACTGACACTCCAAGGTACACCCTGACAAACCCAGGTACACCCTGGCCTCCAGGTACACCTCTGACCTCCTGGTACACCTTTGGCACTCCCAGTTACACCTCCGACTTCCAGGTGCACCTCCGATGCTCCCAGGTACCTCTGACCTCAAGGTGCATCTGACACTCCCAGGTACACCTCAGACACTCCCAGGTACCTGACACTTGGTACACCTCTGACACCTCCGGTTCTCTCAGACCTCCCAGGTACCAATGACACTGCCAGTATGCCTTGCTCCCAGGTACCTCTGACCTCCCAGGTACACCTCTGACTCCCAGGTGCTCATCTGGTGCTCCCAGGTACACCTCTGGCCTCCCAGTGCTCTCTCCTGTGCTCCCAGGTACACCTCCGACACTCCAGGTACACCTCAGAAACTCGTGCACCTCCGATACTCCCAGGTACCTCAGACACTCCAGGTACACCTCCAAACTCCCAGGTACCTCAATCTCTGGTACACCTGACACTCCCAGGTACATTTCTGACACTCCCAAGTACTCCTCAGACACTTCCAGGTACACCTCAGACACTCGGTGCACCTCTGACACTGCCAGTGCACCTCCTGACACTGTCAGGTACACCTGTCTCTCCCAGACACCTCTGACACACCCAGGTGCACCTCCGATACTCCCAGGTACACCTCTGACCTCCCAGGTGCACCGCTGACCTCCCAAGTACTTGCTCCCAGGTGCACCCCTGACCTCCCCAAGGTACACCTCTGTCCCAGGTACACCTCAGACACTCCCAGGAACATTTCTGACACTTCCGGGTGCACAGCAATGCAACCTGAC